TTAAAGCTCCGGCGTGGGACCTCAACGTAGTTCTACGACATCTCACTAGTGAGATTTACGAACCATTACAGAGAACATCTTTCGAGTTCTTGATGCAGAAGACGCTGTTCCTGATAACCTTAGTAACAGCAGCAAGGATGTCAGAAATCCATGCTCTGAACTTTTGGGAGAACACGATTTGATGATAATCATAACATTGTGCATATGGGACTGAGATGGGACTTCATAGCAGAGAATCAACTGCCAGGTCATCCAGACAGACAGTTCCACGTCCCAACACTATCATCAGTCCTTGGACCACAGGATACGCAGGTCCTATCCTTGTACCCACTGAGAGCATTGAAAGTCTGCCTACACGATCCAGGTCCAGGTGACGGAAATTCAATTGTCTTTTCGTCTCGATATCGACAGCGACACAGACGGAGGTCTGCCGCACTACGATATCAAGCTGGATCAGAACTGTCATACTACGGGCCTACAAAGCAGCAGGACTTGATCCTCTAAGAGTCTCCAACCCACATGAAGTTAGAGCTCTGGCGTCAACGCTCGCTCTACATTGGAATCGCTCTATCAGTACGATAATGGAAGGCTGCTTCTGGAAATGGGACAGGATGTTGGCCAACCACTACCTGAAGGACGTCGCCACTGAGGACGGCTATGGCATTCACCATTTCGGCCCACTTGTTGTAGCACAACAATTGACAGTCCCACAAAGGCGCGCTGAGACGGTGTCTCGCCCTTTTACCACATGACTTACAAAGCCTACACTCCGGAGAGTTTTGCTTTAAGTCTATATGCACGTCTAGGACAGACTAGCATAAGTAATATGACCCAGTACTTGTAAGGACACTTGTACAGGGATGGGTCGCTTCTCCACTTGGTGCTTGCATCAAGAGATGGAGTCGCAAAATCCACATAAAATGTTAACAGAAGAAAGGACCAAAAGTTAACTATTGTGGTCCCCCCGTCTAAAGTCAGCTGGAAGGACAGGGTCGCAGCAGCAGCAGATTAGCAGTTACATAACAGTGCCAACACGAAGTTCCCATAGGGGGGTAGAGAGACGTAAATCACTACATAAAATCCAAAGTACTTGCCCGCCGCCTTTTCCGTCGGATTCTACAAGCATTAAGCATGAGTCAGGATAAGGAAAAATATGTAATTTTCTGAATAAAATTGATATTTTTATACTTATCCTGACTCATGAGGTAAGCCCACCCAGCCTCCCCACTAGACACTTTGGTTTTCCCTGCAAATTCAAGTGTCGGGCTCATAATCAGGAGAGAGTGAAGCATGTGGGGACGGTGGCGCCACAGTTTCCCGCCTAAACAGCTGGGGAGATAACTCTTGGGAGGAGTGATTTTAAGTCTGTTCTTTATTGAAGGGAGCTTCAATAGGAGATACAAGTGTTCCACTAACGTTAGCAAGAGGAAGGAGACAAGCATTAAGCATGAGTCAGGATAAGTATAAAAATATCAATTTTATTCAGAAAATTACATAATGGAAGGTGTTTTTATAAGATCAAGATCACAATGGATTAAAGATGGTGAAATGGTATCAAGGTATTATTGTAGTCTTGAAAATATAAATTTGTGAGCAAACTAATGACTCATATCGAAAAGTCAAATGGTGTGGTTTGACTGATAAGGATGACATTATTGAAGAAACAACAAACTTTTACAAGAATTTATTACAATGTTATGAACAGGATGATAACCACAGTTATGATTTATACAGTTTATTGTTTGATGGTAATATCCCAACATTGAGTAAACAATTATCTGAAAGTTTAGAAACTCCCTTGAAACATGAAGAACTACTAAATGCTTTAAAATCAATGAAAAACATTAAGAGCCCAGGCTCAGATGGATTTTCTGCATAATTTTTCAAATTCTTCTGGAAGGACCTGGGCTTCTTCCTCCTTCATTCGGTTAACTATGCATTTGAAATAGGGGAGCTCTCAGCAAGTCAGACATTAGGAATAATTACATGTCTTCCAAAAGGAGATAAGCCTAAACAGTCTTTGAAAAATTGGGAACCCATCACTCTCTTAACAAACTTATATTTCCCTGTATAGAAGATTGGATAAAAACTGTTTTACAAAACATAATTCACCCTGAACAAACAGGATTCATGGCTAATCGTTATATAGGTAATAATATTAGAGATCGCCATGATATTTTCCTTCGAACAGAAAAGGACAGATTCCAGGCATGCTATTTCTGATAGACTTTCATAAAGCCTTTGATTCAGTCTGTTGGTCCTTTATTAAAAAATGTGGGGAATCAACCCGGGTCTTCGGCAGGAAGAGCCCACGCTTAACCATTAGGCTACCCACGCCCATCTATTATTGAAAAGAATCACAGAGACATAAGAGGAATTGTTATAAATGATAAAGAACACTTGCTTGAACAATATGCTGATGATACTATGAGTTTATTCTGGATTGAAATCAAACGTCATTTGAAAATTTGATTCAAACTTTAGACATTTTTGCTAGGATTCACAAAAATAAATTATGAGAAGTCAGAAGTAGTTTGGATTGGCTCAAAGAAAATTAATATTGCCAAATACAGACCTGACCTTAACTTAAGATGGAATCCCAACACTTTCAGGGTATTAGGTATTAAATGTTCAACAATTTTGTTAAGTACGGATTCGTATACTGGTCAGTTCTGAAATTGTGAGTAACTGGAAGGATCTGTTATTATTTACTAATCCAGAACTTCAAAACATTGATAAATTTGGAAATGTGTTTATAAAGCCCATAAAGATCCATATCATTTTTGGAAACATTGCTTACAGGCATACCTAAAAGTCTTAGAAAGAACAGAAATTATATCTTTCAAGGATTTGATTTGTGAACCTCTCTTCTTTATTGACAACATCAAAATAGGGGAAAAAAAACAGTCAAATGGGAACATTGGTTGGACCTTGGAAAATCACAAATTGGCGACCTTATAGATGTTGACAACAACAACAAACTTTATCGAGTCCAGACCTAATTAAGGTTATGGAGAAATTAGCATTGTATCATCAGCTAAAGAATATTTAAGAAAAACAAAATTTAACAGAGAAAAAAAAGCTGTCATTGGTATGAAACTTTCAATCAAGAATTTAATATCAGTTAAAAAAGGTTCAAAGTGGTATTATTTCACACTCACAGCAACTAATGACAAGTGGAAAGCTATGACTGAGTGGGAATCACAGTTTGCTAACCAAGATCTCAACTGGCCTAGAATATTTTAAAATAACAGAGGACACAAAGTTCAAATTGTTTCAATACTGGATTCTGCATAGGAGACTGACCACCAAGTGTCAGCATGTCATGTCATGAGTCTCAATGACCAATTTATTTTACTAGGCTTAAAACATAATATTTTCTCTGATGACATTTTTGGCCTTCTCATCTTGCTTTGCAAATTTTTCATTTATAAATGTAAAGTACAAGGTATAGCTTTAATTAAACATTGAACACCTTAAAAGAGCTTCATATAAGATATAAAATAGAACAATATTCTCATAAGGTTCATAACAATTCAGCAGATTTCATGAGGAAATGGATGATGTATTATCCACCTTTGAATAACTCTTTACAGTTTAAACCATATTTTATGACTACACCATAAATTGCTCAGAGGAGGGTAACATTACCGGTAATTACTTAACCTAGGGATCATTCATAATTTATGGCTAGGGGGTGATGATGGTTTTATGGGTGGGGTGGGGGTGTCACCCATTTTGTTTTGGGAGGGGAGGGGTGTCAGCAATTTTGTACATACAAATATGTTTAAAATTATGCTTAGAAATTATGGGAAGGGGGAGGGTCATTGATTTTGTACATGACATGGGGGGTCACTTATTTTGTACATAAATTTTAGGGGGTTCACATTGTAATGCTTCTCCATAAAAATCATCATCACCCCCAGCCATAAATTATGAACGGTCCCTTACAATCATTTTCATGTGTGCAGTTGTATGACTGAATGTGGGTGTGTCTGTGTGTTTAGTTATGCACACACACACAAAAAGGCCCGAAAACTGTCCTCACATTTAATCATAAGGGCAACTGGGCCCTTCACTTCCCTGGGTGAGGGTCCATTTTCTGTTACAGGGTTTCAGAAATAAAATATCAATTAAAAAAAAAATTCTGCTCAGCATCAAACCACACTTTGCTACAGCAACAGGGACTGCTGTCCAACTCTTATTGGTCGAACTTGTACACCAGACACCTGCATCAACTTTGGGACACACCCATGATCTTTAATGATCAGATAAGGGGGTCAACAAGGAAGTGGTCCAGGACTGTAAGGATCGGATGCTAATCAATTCAGCCCAGACCATGAATACAATGTATAGGCAGTCCACCTAGAGACATTCTTTTAAGAGTAGATTCTCTGGCATCCAGAAGTCAAAGGATAAGAGATACTCTGGCAACAACCAGCCCTTTCAGAAGCCATATGAAAAACAATGGAACCAATCTTACTGTGACCATGGCAGGAGAAATAGGTTCTACCTGTGTAGGGGCACACTTGCACAATTGGGAATTTCAGGCCCTTTCCAGTTATTGAAGGGTTGGATTCTTCACTAGGAGAAGACTGCAGAAGTAATGGCCAAATTGGGAGCTTCTTGGCCACACGTCCATCATGAACACGCTAAGGAATGGCTACATCATTCCGGTGTTCATGGCACTAGCACTCACACTTTACCTGCTGCAAATAAATATTACCCAAGTTTACAGAAGCAATACACTCCCATCTGTCAAAAGAAGCAATAGAAGTTATACCTCAAGAGGCACTAGACCCAAGATTTTATTCTCCAGTTTTCCTAGTGCTAGAGAATTCTTCTGACAGTACGATATATGTTGCTTGAATATTACTTTGTTGTGATGTGATCAGTGAAGATCAAGCAGGGCAGATTGTTTTATTGTTGATCCCCAGTCATGATGAAAAGATTGTGACATGTCATAAGTCTGCATTGAAATATTAAAATATGTGTTACAGGTCCCTTGATCTAAAGATCCAGGCAGTCGGCAATGAACACCCTATAACTGCAACTGCGTATATGAATCTAGGCACTCTGAATGCACACAGGAAGAATTATGCCATGGTTCAGGAGTATACGGAGAAAGCTCTTCACATATACAAGGTGAGATTGTCCAGATTATGACCCAGAGTTAAAATGACTGAGTGACAAAAGTTGTTTTTCAGTTAAAATAACAATGCACCTGTAAAAAAGTTCAGCACCCCTTAATATGTGGACCACTGCAGCAGTTGCAGACACAATTCAGGCTTCGAGGCAGGATTCGACACATGTTCAGTATGAGGATAGGTGGGCCTGCTATGCGTGCTGGTGTGCAGATAGGGGGATTTCAGATCTCTATGCTGCAGATTTAGTTTAGATATTGGAGTTATTTTAGTGCCATTTGGAAGAAGGTCTTGCAGCCTTGCCCATTCGCACTCCACGGCTATTCCACGCTTCACCCACCTCTCTCTCACTTCACTCATTGACATGGAAGACGGCTTTTCTTGTGTCAGTGGCCTCTGGTAGAAGGGTCAGGGACATATATGTGATATCAGCTGACATGGCACTGATGATATTTCATAATGATCATGTCAGTATTCGCCTCACGGATACCTACCACCCTTAGATTGATCTTGCTTTCTATGTGACAGCTTATATCAAACTTCCAACTCTTACCCAGTCTTCCACATGGGGGACAGCTCCAGGTGGTGGTGGTGGTGGTGGGGAAGTTGCTGTAACTGAGGTTTTTTTTATTGGTACAATGTGTTTATTAAAACATTGTTACAACCACCACAGGACATTTTCAGACACAGAATATGCATATATGTACCTCAAGGACTCACTTAAAAAAATTGAAAATCCCTACATGTTTGGCTAAATTTTACATATATATATTTTGAAATATTCACTGCATTTATATACATATGTATCTATTTATTTTGTTGTATTGTAATGAACTAAGGTGTAACAAAAACTGAAGCCAATAATCAAATAGCATTTTCATGACTCAACACATGATATCTAACCTAAAATCATTCTTTCATAGCAAGTCATGGATAGGCCGTGTATTGAAGACTGTTGAATAAACACCTAAGTTTGTGTTTGTGCCACATGTCAGTATTTTATCTGCATGGGGTACAGTGTTCAATCAATTTTTCTGCCACTATGGCGCAAAGATGGCCAGAGATGGGAAATTATTGGTATGAATAACAATTGGTCGCAAAATGAATGTCCACGCTACAGCTGTCAGTCATTTGGTAAAAAAATACAGGGAAACCAATGAGGTGAAGGATTGCCAACGTGCATGTCAAATCGTGAAGACAGGGCACCTTTGAGGCTCACTCAATGACAACCATTCACCATAAGCACTGTTCTTGAGCACCACTGGTTACCATTTTGCTGGATATCTAGTTTTGATTTTCATCCTCTTGATACAAGACCTGTATTCATCGATGACATCGCTAGGCCTCAGTGAGGCCACATCGCTAAGCAGTGACTCTTTCATTCAGAACAATGCACTGGCCGCCATGAGTCCAGACCTGAACTCCCTGGAGCACATTTAGGACTTTATTCAGTGACAGATACAAATATGTGTACCACCATTTCAAAATCTGTCAGCGAAGTTCAATGCAGCTTTGCACCAAGATTGGCGACAGTTTCTTCTGCAACAGATATGACAAAGGGTACATTTGGGGATAAGGGCTGCTTTCTCTTTTCTCTCTCTCTCTCTCTCTCAGGATGCCAAAGTGTTGCTTTGTCTGGCTCTATTGGTGTGTCTTTTTTCAGTAACGACCAAAATTACTTCCACATAAAGCTCATATAGTGACATGACTGAAATACTGTTCAAAATGACATGGAAGCCTAACAGTTAAAGCATAAGCTTGCCAAGCAGAGGCATGTGTTTGATTTGTCAGATGGTTACAGTGTGTGAAGCCTATTCTTGTGGGTCTTTGCTAACAGTGACATAAAAACATATTCATTCCCTCAAAGTGGCATTGATTACAACTCACTTGTCATTTAGATCAACCAGTTTCACCAAGATAATCAGTCATACTGGTTTTGTAAGGAGAATATGGCAAACTGCCTGCTGAGACAGAACAAGATCAAGGAAGCTGAACCCGTACTTCTGGGATGTCTGTAAGTTGTTTTAGAATTATTGTCAGGAATAATAATCATACATTTCTGTACTGTTTCCATAACTGTTCACTGGTGCTCAGAACATTTGACTACAGAAGTGGTGCTGTGACTTTGAAAGGCCCTTCACCAAGTATGAATTTAGTAACTGTAATACCAGGAACGGGACCCAGATTTAGCTTGTGTGTTCATTCACTTGAATGAGTTCCTTGAGATATAGGAATCTTGTCCTTAATCCATATACAATTAAGATATCGGCAACAGTGGAGCTTGTGTTATATGAACAGCTTGTCATTTATGGTAGCCACACATTAATAACTTTAAGCATTCATATGTAGGAAACAATTATATATTCTGTACATTAGTGGGCTGATTGTAAAGTCAATGGATGAAGAGATATACATTTTCATATAACCCCCAAGTCTCTTAATTTCACTTTTGGTTTAGTTAACTGAAAAAATCATAAATAATTCACCTTTAGTTTGGCACTTAATGCACCGTTTCATGTTTTCCATAGTTTGGCTTAAAGGCACAATGTCACACATTTTTGACAATATTTTAGCCTATATTATACATATTAGGGCAATCACTTTAGCTTCCTATTGATGCAATGAAAGACTTATCATCCCTTACGACTTGCCTGAAATCGATACTTGACACTTCTAGGCGAATAGCTTCCAAACAGAGAACACTTGTTTTATATCGAACATCGAAAACTGTCACACACGGTGTTGTCAGTATTTCCTGAACTGGTTTTCGATCACAAGTTCTGTGTAGGATATTCGTAAGAGTGCACCAAGGGACATAACTTTGTATTTTTAGAGAAGTGTAGTGTGATATAGTGCATTTAAATAAAAATTTATGATAAAGTTAGATACCAGCAGACGTTTTAAAAAAAACCATGAAGAATTGTTGATGTTGAAGGTGAGACTTGACTGTTGTTAATGCACATTAGTGAATCTATTAGCAGTTATCCCTCAATGGTGTGAGATAAGCAGTATTGTTTATCTTATGCATTGTTATTTTTCTGCATATTCCTAATGAGTCTATCAAACAGTATAATTTGTATGAATACATTCCTCTAACATTTTATAGCCTTATTTCCCGAAACTTGTTTCTGGTCCACATGTTAAACTTGAATAACACTTTTAAATGTCTATCACCTTGTGTCGTCTTACGTCCTAGTGGACTTCTTAAGCGTTCTTCATTGAATTCACACACACACACACACACACACACACACACACACACACACACACACACACACACACACACACACACACACACACACACACACACACACACACACACACACACACACACACACACACACACACACACACACACACACACACACATACACACACACACACACACACACAGGACACACACACACACACACACACACACAATTGTTCCTGTGAAGGCACACATGATGTTCCATATGCACACATGATCACATATGTTTTGATCTCTGTTAACATTTTCTACAAATTTCCTAGGTTTATGAATTCTGTTTTGATTTAAAGATGGGTAAATCTAAAGGCAGCAGATACGTTTAAGCTGGGAAATGCTGGGAGTGTGTGTCCAAACACCATGCTCCTTTGTCTCCAGATGCGATAATTGTCCATCTCAATTGCCTGCAGTGTTTGAGAGATATGCCCTGGCAGCTAAGAAAAGGCAGGAGAACAAAAAATTCCCTCATTCCTGCCAGAATTATGGAGTATTTAGAAAGATCGGCTGACATTCAGACGGAGTTGGGTGAGCATGATGCTCCCTGTTCTCCCTGTCAGACCTGATTAAGGGTTTATCAGACTGACTGATGGCCAGTACTGAGAAGGATGAGATTACGACACCATCTGTGAGTGACAATGCTCATAGACTATCACCTTTGCAGAAGTGTACCCAGGCTCCCTGGCTTGTACTAAGCAGCGAGGAATTCAGCTAGCAAATCAGAACTGTCAACAAGATCTCCTGATCACTACAACTTAGATGTAGTTGCACAGATCACATCTGTTGACAACTATCTAAATGGATGACTTTCGCCCTTTGCATGCTGAAATAGATGAAGTCCAAGATGTGGAATTTGTGGTGGCCAGGCTCGTCGCATGGACTACGTAGGGCTGATCACTCTTAACAGATTCTGCCATTCAACAAATACTATTACCATGGACCACATGGATCGCACCAGCCAAGGGACTGCTTGGACTGCTCTAACCTCAGGACCAAACAGGTCTTGTAAATCATAGGTGATCTTCTGTTCTCACAATAGTGTGGTGACTAGCATGGGACACACACATAGCTCAAATAGTACCCTGACTCCTCTTACACTACTGCCGATCATGCTGTATTAAGTGAACTGGAGCAGTATCGTTAGACCTATCACTTGAACCCTCAGAACTCAACTAAGCCAGATACACCTTCATCGATAAGGCTGCAGCCCTGCAAGTTTTGTTTTCTGACTCCGTGCCACCAATGTCAGATCATGAAGACTTTGCAGCAGAGATTCAATGGCCTGAAGCTCCATTGGTTAAGATCAGGATGTCACAACCAGGATATCAAAGTTCCAGAAATCTTAACACACTATCTCTACACATTTTTGCAGGATTTAACATTCATAAGCTGTCTACATCTTAAATTCCAACAGAATTAGATCAATCAAAACAGAGGGAAACAGCTAGGCTCTGTCATAACACCTACGGATCTAGTGTTCAAGGACCTTGCTTGGTGAATGAGACCCAACAATATCATAAATGGGACTCAGATCAGGATGTCGTCTGAAGATCATCATCTCTTTGCAGATACTTCACTTACAGGATGGGGAGTCCATCTAGAAGACAAGAGGTCATCAGTCACTGGGAGTTAGATTCACCAGTCCTTCACCAGTCCTTATCAATGTATTAGCCACCTGTCACTTGGCACTAACTCCTCACTTTTGTGAATACACAATGCCATTTAGAAGACGCAGTGGCTGAGTGGGTTTGATGGCGATTAGGTGCCTGACTCTGAGAGAGAGTATTCGAATCCTGGATGGGACTCAACCCAACAAAAGTACTAGAATCTGTACTTTACTGAGAAAGTGTAATCACAATCTACAACAGCTCCACCTACACATTATTGAGGCAGCAGGAGTTTCAGAAGGAGTTTCCTGAGCTGTTCAGCAGTCACTCAGAGCCTCAACATCTGCTTTATGTGCATACAAGTGGGATCAATTCCAGCTGTATAGAATCAGATCAGGAACTGCCAATGGACCTATAACAGTAACTATGACTGCAGATTCTAAAATTCCTTCTCAGAAACGACTTACATATTCTGCATGGAACTATTGAAGGTGATCGCTTGGGACTAACATCTGTTCTTACCAAGCATGGAATATATGTTGGGAAGGATCCAGTTCTTACCAGCATATTATATTCATTTGAACTAGAGGATATCCCAACAACTAATAACTATGAAGTGGGATTTGTCAGTGGTTTTATCGTCTCTATTACACTATCCGTTTGAACTTCATCTCATCTTGCTTGGAAGACTGCATTTTGTTATGGCACTGGCCACAACCTCAAGGATTTCAGAACTGCATGCCCCAGACTTAAGATCAGTTACATGAGTCATGATCAGAGAGTTACCAATACTCCTTGCCAAGAATCATAAATCTGCAATGGAAACTTTGGAATTGATTTTCATGATCCCTTCTCTGGCTCATACACTGGATCAGGATCTACCTTACAGACTCTTATGCCCAGTAAGAGCTCTCAAGAGGTATTTCCACAGGACTGATCCATATTTGGATTTCATGTCAGAATACTGCAACAAAGATGTATCCAAAAGTAAAGTGGCAGTAGGAATCAAGAAAACAAGAAAGCTAGCCTATTGCATGATGGAAGTGCAACCACCTACAGTCTACTTATGGATCACTCTGGGCCCATCAAGCCTAGGGACGTATTCTTTGAATACTACCTCTGATACTTGAGGCTAAGATCCGCCAATACTTCTCCTGGAATCCCAGAGTACCTCATTGAAGGAACATTATGAAGTTCCTGCTCATGTAAGTGGGAGATAACTCCAACAGATAGTGCTTGGGAAGACCACAGGGAGTAAGACAACACAAGATGATGGATGTTTAAAAATGTTATTCAAGTGGACCCAAAACAAGTTTCAGAAAATACGGCTGTCAAGTGTTGGAGGTAGTATTCTAAGAAATATTATCATTATTATCGTAGGCTTTATTTACCAATATATAACATCAAACTCAGAACACCACACCAACATGAGTTTATGTTCATACAAATTATTGATACATCCATAGAACTAAATCTTGTTCCATAATGAGATTGTTGCTCTATGTCTACAGTGTGATCAAGATCCTTTGATTGTAGGTTAAAATTCAGTGATGTTTAAAGTCATGCATGAAATATTTTCAGAGTGTGATATCATGTAGTTCATGCACATTTCAATTCTCAAACCAAAACAATAGAGCTCTGAATAGCAAAGCCAGCATCCCAAGCGCTGTGCAGAATATACTGGCTTTGGCAATGTTTACATTTTCAGCAAATTGAAGAGAATCCTTTTATGTTTTTCTTTTGGAAGAGTTAAATGCTAACTGCCAAATGTATTCAAACCCAGATTACAATATAAATATCTAGTTTGAATGAGGCCTGTAATGTTGCAGAAACAAATGGCATTCCTGAATAAATCACTTTCTGACCTGCTACTGAGTCTATTCCCGTTGTATAGCTACTACTCTTTCAGAATATGGCAAGCAGTGCCGAGTAAGCCTATAGACTATTGTTGGAAAACACTACATCAGAACAGTCAGTGTGCTTTAATTTCTGAGCAGCATATCTTTCTTTGTTTTTTCTAGTTGATGTCCAAACGAGGCTTGGACGCATGGCTGACTGTATTCCATACGTTCACCACACAATATCTGAACACTACATCGATAGCGGGGAGTATGACAAGGCTGACCGTATCCTTACAGCTCTATCAATGTGTAAGGAAAAGAGGAGAGCTACAACCTTTCTCTTGCTGGACAAACTTGACCAGCAGCAGCCCAGGTCAGATGCTAACCCCCGTCCAAGGGAGCGAACTCTGGAATATGGAATGGAATTGTGAGTTTTATCAATTTTTGTATTGATATGGGTTTTTTCCAAGTACTACTGTAAGTGGAGACACTAGCAGTGATAGGGTTGAAGGACCAGTGGGTGTGTTAGGCTGGAAGGAGGATAGAGTTTGCGAGACATAATGTCACTTGTCAAGTATTCTGGAGAGATCGAGACTGGCATTATCTAATCTGTTATGAAGGTTTGCCCCTGTAATGTTTGTGAGAGGTATTGAGGACCAGTCTGAGGATAGTAGGTGACTGAAGGAATCTAAACAAAATATATCTCACATGTGCAGCACAAACCAGCAAGATATCTTTGACATACATACATATACTTAAATGTCCTTTACATATCTTCCATGTCTTACCCTCCATATACCTTCCACATAGATCACTCACCTATCCCATTTCACATAGCGATATTCTCCACATAGATCACTCACCTATCCCATTTCACATAGCGATATTCTCCACATAGATCACTCACCTATCCCGTTTCATATACTGATATTCCCCACATATATCACCTACCTATCCTGTTACATATACAGATTTATTTCTCACGCCGTCAAGGTATGGGTAGTTGCATACTAATCTCGTACATCACACGAGTGTCATATTGCATTGACCTGTGCCGCAACAACTTCAGCTGGCATTCTAATGATTTGATTGGATAACCGATGACCTCTCAATTAGGTCACGTTATGATGGAACTACTTTCTTATTCATAACAAACATATGAATTCATTCATTCTACAACTTTCACTAGGTCAATTAAGTTAGAAGAGACATATCACATGATCATTATTACTTGAAAATATTACAGAAACACATAAAAAGTTAAATATTAACACTACAAGAACATTAGTATATGTCTTAATCACAAATTCTAATTAATTTACATTTTTTGAAAATAAATAAAAGTTTGTCTGCTGACTTGTGCTGTTGACGATGTCTTGGCAAAACATGGTGACTGCCGTTTGTGTCACTTCCATCGTTAAACCTCTCGGAATATTCAGTGTTTTCAATATAAAAACTTTGGATGGCAAAATAAGGCAAGTACACAGACATAGACTTACTGTGGTTCCTGAAACTGAATCAATGGCCCCTCCCACTCAGTTTTCCCTACCGGAGGATATTTTGGAAGAATTGATGAAAGATAACTTCTTTCAGGAGGTAAATGACCAAAGTTCTTTCAACTAAGATTGTTCAAACATTGACAATTACATCTGAAAAATCGGAATCAAATCACTTGGAGAAAGACTGACTATGACATAAACATTCTCATGAAGTTCTTGAAGTCAAATGGTGACAGAAGACCAGCTGAGACTATACCCCCGCCAAAACTTTGTGACATTTTGTGCACTATTTTCATCGAAATAAAGAAATCTAATGGCAAGGATTATGAGCCAAGCTCATTTGCATCAAAATTGTCGAGTTCTGACAGATATTTGAACTCGACATTCATACTTGCCTGTATTGTAGACAACCTTAAGCTGCCTGAGAGCAAGTCGGCTGTTGATTTGCTGTCCCCCCTTTTATATGAAGGAGCGGGACTTACCCTAAGTGAATAGACCATTCACTATCTATGTTTAACAAGCCTCTTTGTTTCGGCCACAACATCTCAGCCTTTGATTCTGTTTTGCTGATCCCTACAGAATCGGCGATCCCACTCATCTCTACCTTTTTGCTGCTAGCTACTAGAGCGACACAGCCGAATCTGTCTGTTGAGATAGTTCACAAAATATTCACAGAATCAGAGTCTTCAAGTCCTACCCCTGAGTTCGCCCGTTCTCACCAGTCAACGTTCGACGAACATTTTCTCCCACGTTTTTGGACTTTTGCGACAGTCTAGTTCGGGATCTAGTACATTTGTATTGGTAATCCGGGAACCCAACTCACTAGATTACACCTTATGGGACAAACGCTACGCCAACCTTGATCGAGTCCTTACCTAGTCAACGAGATCATCCGTGATTTTTCTACCAAGGTGGAGCGAAATAAGTTTAGATTGAACTTCTTAAAACTACAGAAGATGCAAGTATTAGAGTACAATTGATGCAACCGCCCGGCACAGTATGTTCCAACAAACCCAAACTTCGAGATTCCTTTCAGAGCAGGAACATTTTTCAATCCAGAACAAGAAAACAACTGGAGCTGGATTCGGTAAGCCATAACTGTCAGAGACCTTCCACCCCCAGTTGTCCCGATCAAAGATTCCCTGGTTGGTGGAAGAATTGGTACATATGCTTGCAACTGGACCCTTTTGGAAGAACTCTTTTGTTGTATATACACTCAGCTTGGGCTACAAACTACCAATCATAAGATCTTCACTGCTGACAGGCGATCCAGTTCAGCGAACCTACCCCTCGGCGCAGACACCAGCTCTACAGATCACTACTATTGGGGGTCCTCCTGTTTGGCATTTATATGGTCTGTGGCTATTCACCCACATCACGGAACACACCTCTCAGTCTCCGTATCACCAAGACATTGTGTTCGAGGCTTATATCGATGATTGTATACAAGCTCTAAGAGATTGAGACATCCTTCTGCAATATCTACAATTCACCACCAGCTAGAGTAGATTTTCAACATATAGAAATCAGAGCTGATTCCAACTTCTTATGTACGCACTCAGTCAACCATTTATAGCATCAAATATCATGGAGATCAACTTGATAATACATCTACAATTCACCACCAGCTAGAGTAGATTTTCAACATATAGAAATCAGAGCTGATTCCAACTTCTTATGTACGCACTCAGTCAACCATTTATAGCATCAAATATCATGGAGATCAACTTGATAATACACCGATGACGTCATACAGGGAGTTGACTGGAGGTACACTGGTAGTTCTTCGGAAATCAGTAGATGATACGCTGGTTACTACCGTTTTATGGTTTCACTGTATTATCACATCGGAAATTTGTGTGTGTGTGAAATTTTGACTACATATTCGACAGAATGCAATGGCTGCGCACCAGATTTATAACATCAACAGGGGATTGTTGCATTCTGCAAAATAATGAAGAGGGCAGTGAAGCGTGAGCCAGGCAGCATTATAGCGAGACAGCAATCCCACTTTAGTGTGATATGGCTCCCATGAGTACATCCTACTACTTTCATCAATCTATCAGTACAGTGTTGGTTCAATGAATCATCATGTACGGAAGAGTTCCATTCCATGTCTGTTCCTTAGGCTCTATGATCCCCTACCATTTACCTTTTGTCACCTGCATTGGTCGCTTGACGAATCGAATGTCTGCAGAGGAATTTATCTAATGCCGTTCAACCCCACTCATCGAGTTCAAAGCAGTTATATTAGCCTAATGAAATTAGGAGCAGGAGCTGCAATTGACCAGTCTGCTCATTCAGTCCGACAACTCGACCATCATTTGGTATATCATCTGGGGTCAACAGGATCGACAAGTCTCTTAGGGTGGGCAATGCTCTTCTTCAGCTGTTAGATTCCCTTGGAATCTCAGCAAGAGGCAGACACATTCGGGGGATAAAGAATGTCATTCCGAGTGGATGATTCATCCACAGATCTTCAGTTCGGCTTGTTTCACAATCACTTATCCCCAAGTCGACCTCCATGTCCAGGTGCAAAAATCAACTTCCCAGTTTCGTCTCACCAATCCCAAACGCAATTACGAATCAGGACGCTCTGGCCATACATACCCTGGGAAAACGTTTCCGTCACCAACCCTTCTACCTCGAGTACTACAAAGCTACAGTCCACCAAGCAGATGACACTGCTTTTGGTCACGCCCTACTGGCCAGTGTGTAGTTGGTTTGTCAATTTGTTACGTCTCACCAACCCACAGCCAGTAGCTCGACCCACACGAGACGATGTACTCGTGCATCCGCAGACCGACTGCACGCATCTCCACTGACATTCAATCTTCATGTCTGGCGCATCTACATTCAATTTCAAAAAGATCTCTAATTGCCAAGGGATATACCAGGAGGGTGGCTTCAGCTATTGGTTCTTCGCATCATACTTCTACTCGATCTGTATGTGACGATAAGTGGAACAAATTCAAACTTATTGCAAGGTGCCTGATATTCTGTCTCCTACTTCAGCTTCAGCACAGCCTATCACCAAATACCTACAACACTTGTGACTGTCAAGGAAGCTTAAAGCATTTACCTTGGCAACTTACCTCACAGCTATTAACTCAGTAATAACTACAACTACTGGCACCAAAATCTCTACAGTCCCTGAGCTACAGTCTCTATTGTGTTCTACAAACTGGCAGATCAGTCTAGGCAGTTCCGTCCCCTGGCCTGGGATTTATCGGTCATCTAACAACATATGGTTTCTGATGATTCCGAACCTTTGGCTCAGCAGACCATCAAGCACATTCAGGACGTTCATCCTGGTGGCGTTCGCTACGGCAGCTCGGATGTTGGATTTCCATACACTTGATGTAGGCCGAGTACAATTTGAAAAGGGAGCACACAGTTGAATTTTTCTGGATCTTCGCTGGGATTTCATTGCGAAGAATCAATTGCCTAGTCAGCCGGATCAGCTGTTCACCATCCCACCATTGTCTACCATACTGGGGTCAGATGACACTGAGGACCTTTCGCTTTGCCTAGTCAGAGTTCTCAAAATCTACATTGCTGCTTCACAAGACCGGCGTAGACTGTGTAAGCGTCTGTTCATCTCGCTGTCTACAGCCTCATCAACGGAAGTCTCCCATACTGCCTTAGCCTTCTGGATGAGGTCGACCATGCTACAGGCATACACTTTGCCGGTCTTCCACCTCCTGCCGCATTGAACCCACATGAGACTTAGCATCCACAATGGCACTCCATGGCAACTGCTCTTTGACTTCCGTTATGAAGGGCTGCTTTTGATTG